ATAATAATAATAATAATAATAATAAAGCCATTGATCCCAGTGTTGGGCAAGGCCTCCCACAGTAGAGGAGTGGCTCAAAATTAAATTCGCTTTCAGGTGTGCTAACCCCGAAGAGCGTAATGAAAATAGAGCGCAGTATAAATGAATGAATGAATTCAATGCGAGATCAGAGTAAATAGTACGAATCAGTGCGAGAATTGGAGTGTAAATGATAATAAAAATAACAATAATGAGGAAAAAAAGTTCAAACTATAACGCCTCACTTATAAGTAAAACATCTTTCTAGACCTAAAGAAACGGCCAAAATGGCATTCTGCAAACAGGCATGCTGGTTATAAGTTAGTTGTAAGATTAGCTTTAGGTAGATTATAAGTCCTCCACCTTCTGCTGCAAAAGCAAAGTAGGGCTACGGTGCGCGCGCAGATTGTACAACCCCAAAAAGAAAATAAATTACCTGCTCGCCAGAGACATTGGCAGTGAAACTTTAAAAATCTTGGGTAAAGACGCAGCTAATGTTACCTTTAAACTTTTTCCCACTTTTTGCAAAAGAATTTAATACTTTAATGTTGTTTCAGTGATTCACCTCACATTAGTATAAATAGAAAACGGTGTCACGCGGAATTTTGTCTTTGAAACTAAGGTTATTCGAAAAATGATATGCCTATTTCTTGGAAGATTCAAAAAGCAGCAATAAAAGTAATATTGAAAACAAAAATATGTTTTCTTTGGGTTATATCATAATTCTTTGATGCTGAGATGGGAAAACCTCCGCTCCCCGTTTGGTCTCTGACTTACACAGTCGAAAACAAATTTCAGATAATGCTTTCAAAAAATATGTTTAAATGAAAATAATGTATATAAAAAGAAATGTTAATTTAAAGTATAGTATTGTCAATTCTGCAAATACCTCCCAAGTAAATAGAAAATGAATTGGTATAAGAAAATAATTCATGAATTGCAACCAACTCAATGATAAAATGATATATTTTAAAGTAATGATTTCTTTTAATGATTATTCAATATCGTTTAAATATATAAACATTGGAATAAATTCTAAAATTTTTATGACAGGGTCTAGTTATTTATTCATCTCGTTTCGGATAATTTTCTTAATCGGTATTGGTTGTAGTTGTGTTTATTTGTACTTGATCAGAGTAATCTGATAATCAGATAATCAGAGTAATGGAATGAGAAGCTGGGTAAACAGAGAGAATCCTGAGGAAAGCTTTCGAGAGCTCTCCTTAAAACCTAAAAATTCTACAACATATGATTTAAACCCGGGTACCAAGTTTACTGGAACCAGAATTTGCGCATTATTAATGTATTTATTCATTCAGTCACTTATTCGTTCTCGCTATTCCGGCTAGTTTAAAGCTTCACGCTACTAAGTTGATATTGAGGTTATGAGTTCATAAATAAATATAATAGTGATTTCCCATTCCTTCTACAACCGTTACACAAAATCATCGCAGCCTCACACGGGATTCGAACCCATCACCTTTCTTTGCACGCAGTGGTTGCCACCGCCACAATCTGCTACAGATTGGGTGGCATATGCATTATAAATAAATCTTCATTCTGACTACATGCCATTATTGATGTTCATATTATTTTACAAAGTGAAGAAAAGTCTTACAACATTATTGACTTTTGCAGTTACCCTTCATTGAATACTTGGGACAATAAAGTCATGAACTTCAGAATTTCATGTGCGCCGAAGTGAGTTCACCGTGAACCGTCTTTTTAACGGCCTTAGTAACCTAAAGGCCAGTATACACAGTACAGTTTTCGTGCACATTTTAATACAGTTTCTTCACGTCGAGATCACTAATTAGAAGTATAAAAGCCAAAGGTCGCACATACATGCTATGTACGTTTTTCGAGTGAATTGCCAAAAGTCATCGCTAGCGGGTCTACCAGGAAACAACTGAATTGCGTCGTCTGAGTACTTTCTGTGGGTGCGTTCTGGCTGTGATCTTTATTAAGTATTATTTGACCATGAGAAGCGTAGAAAAGAAAAATAGGAAGTTGGAACTGGAGATAGCGGCACCTTATCACAATATCACTTCACACAATCTTATCTTGACACACTTAACCAAAAAATCGAAAAGGCCGATTACCGTCCCATCGGGTAAACAAATCCGTTAGTGAACAATTCTGTCGATAGAGACGCTAGAAACATACTAAAAGCTTTCTGCACGAAAAATTACGAACATCCTCAAAAGTTTTCATGCAGAAATTTTGCAGTCTAGACGGCACATTTTGTGTACATCCAAACTGCACGAAAACTGTACCGTGTATTCGGGCCTTATAATTGTAATGTTATAACTAAAATTATTACTTCACAACATGACCAAATTAATTACCAATTTATTTCAGAAGTGATATGAGAATATGAAGATTTAGAAAGATTCTCCTACAACGTTGATGATGATCTCGTGAATCTGCAAAAGAACACAAAATATATTTTAGTTTATTGTAAATTATTGTTTAGTAGAGCGTATTTTTCTTGTAAATTCATGAAAAACAGTAGAAATGTAATAATTCACAATCAACCAAAAAATATTTTCAGAATTAATGGTTTATTGATATATAGTACGTAGTGAAAAATTTTAGATAGGAAAATGTAAAGGGTTCAAACGAAATATTTTGTAGAACGTTGGTTTTACAGCGTTAAATCAATTTTTTGTAACAGCTTTTTAAACATACTTTAAAATTACAAATAAGCACATAAAACCCTGAATTTATGCCATTATTTTACACTTGAATTAAAAATAATGAAAATCAGAAAGTAATTTGTTCATTATCTAAGACTTTTTACATTATTTTGAACCGATCATAGAGTTCTACATAGGATTTTTTCACAATCATGCTAGATGATGGATTTTCATTCCTTTCAGCGGAGAGTGGGGTGATTGAGGTAATGGTTCAACTGGAGAAGCGTGAAGAAAAACTAGTAAATCATTCTCTAATTGAGTAAAACACTGGCTCGTGGATATGTACTTTATGAGGTCGACAATTGAGCACCTGTCAGTCCAGTGAGAGAGGGGTGAACGAATGGCCAGGGTACATTGAACGGATTGAGCACCGTCCAGTCCAGTGAGAGCCGGGTGAACGAATGGCCAGGGTACATTGAACGGATTGAGCACTGTTCAGTCCAGTGAGAGAGGGGTGAACGAATGGCCAGGGTACATTGAACGGATTGAGCACCGTTCAGTCCAGTGAGAGCCGCGTGAACGAATGGCCAGGGTACATTGGCCGTTGAGTGATCACTCATAGTGATCAGTGGGTGCGAGGCAGGCGAGTGATAGTCAGCGGTAGGTGATCACTGCGCGACGCATACAGATCATAGGGAACTTGTGTTGCTGAAACAGCACATACTTTCTCGTCGGTAATTTCCCGCAAAATTTCACGAAAAGTACTCAAGTTTTCGAAAAATTGTATATGGCCTTATTTTAAAATCTATCTTTAACTAACATATTTCAATAAGGAAAAAATTAATATTTTCATAATTCTTTGTACTTGTAGTTAGTTGTAGGAAAAATTTTGAATATTTGCAATTTTCGAGAACCAACGAACATGAGACATGTACCATTTTCTTGAACGCCCTTCACGCTATCCAACAGCAGAATTTAATCAAAAATGATAGAAGCATTTTTCAAAAAATTAAATGTCCCAGGTCTTCATTTAAAGTACTCCTAAAATTAAAATATCAGTTTCCTATTCAAGAAGACGCGACTCCAGCCTGGTCGATTGGGGAATATCAACTTAGGAGAAAATTGGCCGAACGGTTTTTGCGCTAGCATTGTTCACAGACGAACAAACAGATGGATGGACAGACATTCGATTTTAGTTATTATTCGATTTTTCGGTAGCAGTTATTCGATTTCTCGTTATGTAGGACCCACGAAACATGGATTCTGGATACATCACGTGTTAGAGGATTTTTTCACCTAAATTTAGCAACTGCATTTATCCACTTTTTCATAATTGTATGTAGTTGTAGTAAGTTGTAGGACAAATTTTCGAGGAATCGGTGTTATCAACGAACATGAGACATGTACCATTTTCTTGAACGCCCTTCACGCTATCCAACAGCAGAATTTAATCAAAAAAGATGGAACCATTTTAAAAAAAATTAAATGTCCCAGGTCTTCATTTAAAGTACCCCCAAAATTAAAATATCAGTTTCCAATTCAAGGAGCCGCGACTCCAGCCTGATCGATTGGGGAATATCAATATTGGAGAAAATCAGCCGGTTTATGCGCAAGCATTGTTCATAGATGAACGAACAGACGGACGGACAGACATTCGATTTTAGTTATTATTCGATTTTTCGGTAGCAGTTATTCGATTTTTCGGTATGTGGGGCCCACAAAACATAGATTCTGGATAAATCTCCTGTTAAGAGGATTTTCCCCTAAATTTCACAGCTGAATTTATCCATTTTTTTGTTACCAGTGCCCTGTAATAAGAGTTTTTCTGCCGAAAATTGGTAGTGTTTTTTTTTTTTTGTGCAGCATTACATAACTTCCTTGCGTAGGAGGCAGCGAGAATGTAAAAACGCAGTCAAAGGGGGCCGGACGTAGGGTTGGAGCGGAGTACCTCGACGTGGCGCGGCGTGGCGATGGCATACAGCACGGCGTCGGCCACGTCCTCGGGCTTGAGGTGCGGCACCACGTTCCAGAGCTCCTCGGGCCGCGTCACGCCCAGCGCGGCCAGCGCGTCGGCGCTCGGCGGCCGCTCCTTCACGAAGTCTGTCATCACCGCCCCCGGGCTCACCTCCTGCGCCACGCGCGCGCGCCATTCATTAGTGCTTCCGGGCGCGGCAACTGCTACGGTCATTAATTTTCCCTTGTTTTTCGTTCTTACTACTAAGGCACGAATGTTAACGCTTAGTCAAAAGGAGAAATATGCATTAAAATGTGCTCTATCGTTTGTAAAATATGCGGCAAAACTAATAAAATATGCTCGAACAATTAACAGTTTGTTGCTGTTCAGGCGGAGAAATAGTCGAAAAAAAGGTGGGAGAGCATTTTTGATGGAAATGGCAATGGAACATCGCCTCTTCTATCACAGTTGTTTTTGTCAGA